TTTTTGTGAATCATATTCGTAACTATTATAATGAGATTAGTAATTGATTATGGTGAATAGTTCTGTGGAAAACGCGCGTTTAGAGAATGGTACACTTTTTTTTCAACCACTGCAGCGTAGGGGTTATCAGTTTAAGCTCCCATATAATATATGAAACAGCTATGAGATACTGATTACGAACGTACTACTAATTTGTTTTGTCATATATATCGCGAATTTTACAACATAGGTTCTCTAAATGTGTGGTTTAGGAGATATAATTATCATCATCAAAATATTTTTTTTTAATTCCTGACGGTTTGGTTTTAGGTTACTATATCTTTTAGTGTGAGGGATAACAGCTTGGTGAGAATATATAAAGTTGTTGAAAATAATTTTTGTGTTAGTTTACTACAGCTTCTTTCCCCCCTTTCTTTCAATAAAACAGAAACGTCCAAATATGACTAACTACTTCTCCAGTCTGGGTAGTTGTAAATAACTGGTCGTGTAAAATAGAGTAACTGGAAGTTCTAATTAATGACGCCATGAGAGACAAAAGTGAAATAGTAGACAACAGACTGGATAGATGGGGCTTTTCACGACAGTTGCTAGTACGTAAAACGTGTTAATGCGACATGAAGCCTCGTGATGGATTAGCTTAGATACGCTTGCCAACTGTATCATAGAGACCCGTAATGCACAAACTGTGGGGTGCAAACCCTCATGAGGGGGCATGCAACTATAATTGTAGGAACATATGAAATTAAAGAAGTAATAAAAACTACCGTAAAACGTTACTACTGTTAAGTGATGTAGTAAAAACAATTAACATGGGAAAGCGACGCGATTAGGTTATACGAAATGTGTGTGTTGGGAGAGGGCGCAACAACATGCATGATTAGAAAGGAGATCGCCATAAAAAAAAAGATCGCGCAACACTGATACAGACAGTACTTTTGGTCACCTACAGAAGCTAGTCAAACAAAAACCAATGCACGATACAAGCAAGGCTCACGCGTTTGAGACCTTGATTTATATAAACACTCTCTTCTAGAAGCGCCTGATAGGTGGCTTTACAGCAAAAGTTATTGGGGAAGCAGAAACACAGTTCTTACCACTTACATGAGTCGTTTCAGAGTGTACCACCTGCTTTTGGGTTTCTACTTCCCAATTTTATATCATTAAACACTTATCTTGTAATAAAATTTTACAACAAGCTTCATTTAATTTTGGATTTTATACAAAGTTACATTAATATTAATGCTCAATAATATACGGAAACTGAGAGGTTACTACGCACGAGTAGTGCAGGTATGCGAGGGCCAGTTTTGTGACGTCACACGTGAGTTGTTTTATACTCATTCTACTGTTCAATGCCCGGCATGGCCAGGTGGTTAGGGCGCTCGACTCGCAATCTGATGGTCGCGGGTTCGAATCCCCGTCCCGCCAAACATTCTCGCCCTTTCAGCCGTGAGGGCGTTATAAGGTGATGGTCAATCCCACTATTCGTTGGTAAATGAATAGCCCAAGAGTTGGCGGTGGGTGGTGATGACTAGCTGCCTTCCCTCTAGTCTTACATTGCTAAATTAAGGACGGATAGCGCAGATAGCCCTCGTGTAGCTTTGTGCGAAATTCAAAAACAAACAAACTATTGTTCAAACAGGATCTATCAGTTATTTTGTACGTGTGCCCACGTTTAAATTCCCCATGCTGGGGAAATAAGATAAATTATGCATAATGTTATAAAAACTATTTTTAAATCCTATGTCATTGAAGTTTCTTTAAGTTAATTAGAAATGTCAATGTTATGTAAGTGTACTCGTTTCACTATATCATATGCCAGTCGATAATTTGAGAATACTCTAGGTATTACTGTGTAAATTATATTGGCATAAAATAACTAAAGAAGATTTTACGAGGATCGAGCTCCCCAGTGGCACAGCGGCATGTCTGCGGACTTACAACGCTAGAAACTGGGTTTCGATACCCGTGGTGGGCAGAGCACAGATAGTTCATTGTGTAGCTTTGTTCTTAACTTCAAACCAAGAAACGAGGATCGTAGCTTGTAGTGTTGTATGTGCCCCACCTCAAATTACACACACATTATTTGTGTTGTGTTGGCGCTAAAAAAGTGTTAAGTTCGGAGATAAAGAAACTGAACTACAGGAATTCGTGAAAACTGAGCTCCAGCTTCCTAGATGATACTAACCAACGTTTTTGGATGATCGTTCCATGTCAGCATTTGATTTGGAGGAGATAACTTCAGCTATAGAATTAGATGCTGAAGTAGTTTGAAACTCGCACCATTTGTTTCTTTTCTATTTTTATTTCCATTTCGTTCGATAGTAAGATCAGGCAACAAAATGGAGAAGCACATCTAGCGTGAAAAAGTTATAATAATACATAAAATTTTGTTTGTATCTGTTGTCAAACAGTTAGAATTATAATGCCAAAACTACATTCAATGGGGAAAATGACATTTGATTTGAATTGCACGATTATCCCACTAGAAGAGTTACAGACCACAGTTTATGTTTCCTGGTCTTTATTTGTTGGTTACCTAGATTTTGTTTACTAGTTGAGACAAAGAAGTTAAGTTTTCTGGTCTTTATTTGTTGATTACCTAGTTTTTGGTTACTAGTTGAGTCAACAGATAAAGACCAGGAAACATAATTTCATTGTCTCAACTAGTAACCAAAAACTAGGTAAAATGAAGTTATGTTTCCTGATCTTTATTTATTGATTACCTAGTTTTTGGTTACTAGTTGAGACAATGAAATTATGTTTCCTGGTCTTTATTTGTTGATTACCTAGTTTTTTGGTTACTGTTTGAAATAATGAAGTTATATTTCCTGGTCTTTATTTGTTGATTACCTAGTTTTGGTTACTGTTTGAGATAATGAAGTTATATTTCCCAGTCTTTATTTGTTGATTACCTAGTTTTTGGTTACTAGTTGAGACAATGAAGTTATATTTCCTGGTCTTTATTTGTTGATTACCTAGTTTTTGGTTACTAGTTAAGAAAATGAAATTATGTTTCCTGGTCTTTATCTGTTGTTTACCTAGTTTTTGGTTACTAATTGAGACAATGAAGTTATGTTTGCTGGTCTTTCTTTGTTGATTACCTAGTTTTTTGGTTACTGTTTGAGATAATGAACTTATGTTTCCTGGTCTTTGCTTCTTGATTACCTAGTTTTTGGTTACTAGTTGAGACAATGAAGTTATGTTTCCTTGTCTTTATCTGTTGATTACCTAGTTTTTGGTTACTAGTTAAGAAAATGAAATTATGTTTCCTGGTCTTTATCTGTTGTTTACCTAGTTTTTGGTTACTAGTTGAGACAATGAAATTATGTTTCCTGATTTTTATTTATTGATTACCTAGTTTTTGGTTACTAGTTGAGACAATGAAATTATGTTTCCTGGTCTTTATCTGTTGATTACCTAGTTTTTGGTTACTAGTTGAGACAATGAAGTTATGTTTCCTGATCTTTATTTATTGATTACCTAGTTTTTGGTTACTAGTTGAGACAATGAAATTATGTTTCCTGGTCTTTATTTGTTGATTACCTCGTTTTTGGTTACAAGTTGAGACAATGAAATTATGTTTTCTGGAGTGGTGTTGAGGCTAGATTGTTATACAGAATTGGTAAGCATAAATAGCTAAATTACCGTTACTATTGTGTAGAACTAATGAAAGAGCAGAAAACAAAAGCAGTTTTTCTAAGTAGTTTGGTTATCTGTGGTTCTGTTGATTGAGTACAACAGATGTTTTGTTACAATTTTTTTATTAGTGCACTTTGATTTTGAATTCATAAATACATTGTTGTCAGACTTGGCATATAAGTACGTTTATATCGTTTTTCTCTATCCTTATTAATATCGCTAGTAAGACTAACAACAATAACAATATGTAAGATTAGAACTTTTATAGATCTATTTATGAAATTTAGAAAACATATTGGATAAAAAAAATCACTACATTAAATCACCAAACCCATTAACCTAACGATTTTTTGGAAGGGTAGCCCACTTCACGCTGAAGATAACAAAGCATATCTTCCGAAACCACTTGAGTTTCTCGTGTTTTTTTTTAAACAAACTGTTTGTATATAGATGGTTTTTAGTTGAATGAATCACGCTTTTTTGGGGAAGGGTAGCCCCCTTCACGCTGAAGATAACTAAGCATATCTTCCGAAACCACTTGAGTTTCTCGTGCGTTTTTTAAATAAACTGTTTATATATAGATGGCTTTTAGTTGAGTCAATCACGCTTTTTTGGAAGAGGAACCCACTTCACGCCGAAGATAACTAAGCATATCTTCCGAAACCACCTGAGTTTCTCGTGTGTTTTTTTAAACAAACTGTTTGTATATAGATGGTTTTTTAGTTGAATCAATCACGCTTTTTTGGAAGAGAAACCCACTTCACGCTGAAGATAACTAAGCATATACTCCGAAACCACTTGAGTTTCTCGTGTTTTTTTTTAAACTGTTTGTATATAGATGGTTTGTAGTTGAATCATTTTTGGCTTTAGTCTAGGTCTCTACATACATAATACGTGTATATAAAACATATACAAAAGTATACAGATAATATACGTAGGTACTGGGTCACACCACTCTTAAGAAAACACAGTGTTTTATTAAATGTTGGTGATTAACTCTTTCTGTCGCTAATAATTTTGTATGATGTAAATATATTTCTTTTTTTATTAAAGCTTGCTATGCCTTTCTTCAGGTTTGATACCTATAATCCAATAAAACCTTAAATTTTACGAACGTACTTACTTAGCAGTGGCTAGCCTTATGAAAATATGCTTTATTTAGTATTTCCAATTTCTTATTCTTTCAGTACATTATCCACAAATAAGAAATCGTTCTTATATCTTAATTACCGCGATTCTTTGATACGAGATTTTTATTTCAACGCTAGCTGACTTTTAATCTCGACGTCGATCGCTTTGTGTCAAAAATAGATTCAATAAAACCATCGGATTTTAAACTCTACCTTTTGTTGTTGTAGAACTCGGAGAGAAAACATCGGACCTCAGTATATGTTTTACTTGTGACTGAAGAACTCGAAGTGTGGGAAGAATCCCAAAGTAGGGGTAAGTTTTCCACTAATAGTGTACAGAAACTGATGTAACCTCTCATCAGGACTACTTTCTGATGACAACCAGGACAGTTCAAAATATACACTCGGTGGGATAAAAAGATAGAAAACATCATGATATGTAATTTATACAAACAAACATACAAACATATTTTATCATACATTATTATGTTACTCCCAGTAGCTTGTGCACGTGGTATGTGTCAGAGAGAGAAAACTAATTAGTGATAGATGTTAATTTAAAGCAATGTAGGTCCAAGGAAAGGACGAAAATATTAATGACTTGACAATTCCATATGTAACCAGACCTCAAAAACAACGAAGTGTAAAAAGAAAGCACTCGAAGTTTCCATGGGAACTTGGATTTTTTAAAAAGTGTGCACAAACAAATCTATACTCATTTCCATATTTCACAGAATTATCACTCTGTCACTCCTTCTATTTTACCATCAACTAATCTGTTACGTCATGCCTATGTTGAGCTACTACCGTTAAACTTTCTAGCTAAAACCACGGGAGCAAGCCTAATGAAATGATTGTAGAATTTAAAAAATTATGGAACGCCCCTCGTTTCTAATGGCATTTTTAAACCAGATATTTTACTAGATTGAATATAATGACATTGTTAAACCAGATATTTTACTAGATTGTTTTTAATGGCATTGTAAACCAGACATTTTACTAGATTATTTTTAATGGCATTGTTAAACCAGATATTTTACTAAATTATTTTTAATGGCATTGTTAAACCAGATATTTTACTAGATTGTTTCTAATGGCATTGTTAAACCAGACATTTTAATAGATTGTTTCTAGTGGCATTTTTAAACCAGATATTTTACTAGATTGAATATAATGACATTGTTAAACCAGATATTTTACTAGATTGTTTTTAATGGCATTGTAAACCAGATATTTTACTAGATTATTTTTAATGGCATTGTTAAACCAGATATTTTACTAGATTGTTTTTAATGGCATTGTTAAACCAGATATTTTTCTAGATTATTTTTAATGACATTGTTAAACCAGATATTTTGCTAGATTATTTTTAATGGCATTGTTAAACCAGATATTTTACTAGATCGTTTCTAACGGCATTGTTAAACCAGGTATTTTACTAGATTGTTTTTAATGGAATTGTTAAACCAGATATTTTACAAGATTGTTTGTAATGGCATTGTTAAACCAGATATTTCACTAGATTGTTTATAATGGCATTGTTAAACCATATATTTTACTAAATTGTTTCTAGTGGCATTGTTAAACCAGATATTTTACTAGATTGTTTTTGTGAGTGTACAGACACTTCAATATTTGTTTTCTGCTATTTTCAAATCAACAGTGCAAAAAAAAAAAAACACAAAAGAAACAAAACAATTAGCTATGCTTCTTACTGGGTATATGTTTAGTTTTGATCTATATAGGAAGCTTGTTTTGATCAGAAGCTATAGCTTTGATCTAAATAGGTAGTTTGCTTTGGCCAGAAGTTACTGTTTTGATTTATGTAAGAAGCTTGCTTTTACCAGAAGCTACAACTTCGATCTATGTAGGAAGCTTGCTTTTACCAGAAGTTACAACTTCGAGATATGTAGGAAGCTTGCTTTTACCAGAAGTTACAACTTCGATCTATGTAGGAAGCTTGCTTTTACCAGAAGTTACAACTTCGATCTATGTAGGAAGCTTGCTTTGATCAGAAGTTGCAATTTTAATCAATGTAGGTAACTTACTTGACCAGACGTTAAAGTTCAGCTCTATGTAGATTGTTTGCTTTAATCGGAAGTTACAGTTTTGATTTATGTAGGAAGCTTACTTTGATCAGAAGTTAATATTAATTGCTTCTATGAAATTACAAAGGCTCAAAGCTTATCCTTATGGAGTACAGATACGCTATTATTGATAATAATGTGAAAATACATTTTTTGTTAAAGATAAAACTTGTGTAGGACATTACCAAAACGCTCTTAGCACAAACCAATTCAAGGAAATTGGATGGGAGAAAAGTTTTTTCATTCGGTGGGTTAAAGTTTAAAAGACGTATTATTAAAGTCATCTAATAAAACGCTAATGACTTTGTTCTTTTTAAATACAATTCTTTGTAACAATTTGCTGATAATCTTTGTCTGTGTAGTTTTATTATGGTTTATTGTTATTTTTTTAATAAAAAAACCTATTAAAACACAACAAAATACGTATTTAAACATTTTAATGCGGTATAATAAAATATAAATATTCAGACATTTTTTCATGCCCTAATATCATTTTATTAAAACAAAGTTTTTTAAGTATCAAAAATCATTTAAATTGGTCGAAAGATCTGTATAAAAAATATATTTTTTTATATTCTGCTAGAAAGGGCCCAACATAAGTGCTTTTGACGAGAATGTTGTTGCCCTAAAGAAAAGGATATGAAACTTGAATATCTTATGCGTGTTTTTGAATTTCTATATTGTGTTTTGAACGGATAGATTTTGATAACAATATGCTTATTCGTACATTTTCGCCATAGGACGGAAGAGGAGATGGTTTCCTATTCAGGAAGCTGTCAAGGTCTTACAGGAACACAAACCTGTACAGTGTAAATATCTTAAATTACTTCTCAAAAATAATTCATTCCCTTGACGACAAGCAGTTGCTTCTAGTTACAAATCTAATCAAGATTTATCTAAAATGTTATTTACTTGCACTTCGTTATACATGGTTGCCACCGTACCAGCTTATTTCTGATCGTTGTAGAAGCAGAAAATATTTGAGAAATTTGGAAAGGCGTTATAATCACACCAAAGAGTGGAAAAACTCTAGCAACTCTATGGGTACAAGTTAGTGCAAGTTTTGATGTACTCTATTTTATCAAAATAAATTTGTAGTAAGAGTTATTTAGAGCCATTTTTGATGCATATTGTTTATTGTACTGTACATTACGTTGTAGGCGTGTACATTTTGCAGTTTAAAGTAATTTCAAAACTGGCATGGGAATTGCTCAGCTACAATTATAAAACTGGACTGTGTTTTGATCACCGATTAGTGTATATGTAACTTTCTTGGAATTTAAAACAGTGGTTTTGGTGTGATCATGAAGATACCTATATTAAACAAATCGAAATAAAGGTTAATAGGACCAATAGCTTTTTGTTTCTCAAGGGAGACAGCATATAAAATTACTGAACTAATGATGTTAGCTTTAGATTAAGAATACAAAACAGGCGAGTGCGCGGGAAAATGCTTTATTTTTATGCTGTACTTCTTAAATTACGTACTGATAAATTGGTTCGTTGATAATTCCAGTCTGTTCATTATTAAATTGCATAACCTAAACTATTATGTTTTCAAAGTTTTGTTGTAAACCATAAGAAAGCAGAAATCTTTTTTTTTCGTCTCTTTATAAAACACTTTTTATTAATAATTCTAATGATCTTTGTATTTTGATTGTTAATTACCATGTTATTGTTGATAATCTTTATTGTTGTTGTTGTTGTTGCTATGAGGTTGTGCACCCAATGAATTTCAAATACACGAATTTCACAAATACTTTAGTGGAACCTGAATGAAATAACGTATCTGAATAAAGGTGCATGGCTTCTGCTATAAACGTGTGTTCGTTTGTGGATTTTAAAAGTTAAGATGCATTGCAAGAAATTGTTATGAAATTTTGTAATTATTGTATATGTATACCTGAATATGTATATGGTCAAATTTTTTAAAAGGTTAGAGAAAATCTGCTACACTTTTTATTTACTCACCTTCTCTACCTCTAAACAAGATTAAATTCTTTTATATTAACTCAGTATAGTAAAAGAAGAAAAAAATTAATCATACTGGTTTTCTCAAAAATTTTGTTTTTATTATTATTATTAGAACATTTTTTTTTAATTTCCTTGAGAAGTTTACCAGGCTTAATCAGTTGACATTATTTGTGGTTGAAGTCTCTCAGTGCTTTTGTGGAAATGCTTATTTTATCAGTCTTAATTAGTTAGCATTAATAATATATATAGGCAAACGACGATTTATAAGCATAATAAAGAATTTTATTCTTATAAATCGCTGTTTGCCTACCTATTATTATATTAGCATAATGTGTTTCCTTACTCAAGTAGTTGGAATCATTTATGGTTTAAGTCTCTCAGTGTCCGTATGAAATTGCTTAAACTATCAGACTTAATTAGTTGACATTATATGTGGTTTAAGTCTTTCAGTACTCTTATGAAAGTGTTTAAACTATGAGATTTAATTAGTGACATTATTTGTGGTTTAAGTCTCTCATTGCTCTTGTGAAATGCTTAAACTATCAAACTCAATATGCTGACATTATTTGTGGTTTAAACCTCTCAGTGCTCTCGTGAAAGTGTTTGTACTATCAGACTTAAGTAGTTGACATTATTTGTGATTTAAGTTTCTCAGGGCTGTTGTGAAATTGCTTAAACACGTTTTATTTAACAAGACATTCATTCTGTTTGCTGGGTGCTAATGACTGTTGTCTAGTTTAATGCTCAATAATATTATGATTTCAGTTGATAAAAAAGAGAGTCCCGAATTTTTCATTTTCTTTTAAGAACTTGGATAAAAATGTTAGAATATGTATTTTTATAACCTGGCGATTAAATCTGTTTTATGGAAAACCAAGAGACAGAAATTAAGTCCAAGCTAAACGAGAGAGAGTGACTGGGGTATTTTTTCTATCAACCGATTTATCAAAGAAACGTTTCATCATCAAATGTAAGACCCAAGTGACTTATTCCGATAATTAGTAGAATGTACACGATTTGTGTACGTCTTCAATGGTCTGTGGATAACTACAGGGGCAGTTGCACAAACTAGTAAGAAAAATATTAATTTGATGGTTGTTATAATTACCCATATAACTTGGTAACAATTTGACTATAAGTTATACGTATTTGGTTGTCAGTAATGTGGATATTGATCCTAATGTGCCATGTGACAATTGATGAGACTACAGCGATGCTTTTATTCAGTGGCTCCAAATGTTTTCTCTTTGCTAGCTCATGCCGTATCTTACTGGAAATAAAAGTCTTTTGTTGTACATTCTCATGTGTTCTGTATGTCATTGTTTTGTATGTTTTTGTTTTTTCCTAAAAGCCCTGATGTTGGCACACTAAACTAAAAAGAATTGCCAGAAAAGATAAAACCTGGCATTTTAAAAAAAGCTTCCAAACACTTGTATATCATGAACTACGAGAGTGGTTCATAATAGGGATCGCACAGGAATTTGCTCAAAACTCTAATAGAACATTCGGGCAAAAATCACCTTAAAAAACAGACTTATTCTTGAAACAACACTTAAACCCTTCCTATTCAATAGTCAAGACCACTCGAACATTGATAACAAGCAAAAAACCAAACTATAATAGAACAATCGGGCAAAAATCACCTTAAAACAGACTTATTTTTGAAACAACACTCTAAACCTTCCTATTCAATAGTTAATACCACCAAAACGTTGATAATCAGCAAAATAAGTAATTTCACGATTGGAGAAAGAAATTAAAATTTGCCCATTTGTTCATATTATTATTGTTTCACAAGCCTACATGAAACTTGGCTGGGTATTTTGTGCAAAACTTAGACAGATATGCAATATGATGAGCTGCGAATATCCATGACCTATTTAAAAGTTGATGTTTTTAGTCGATAGTTGGTTTACGTGGTTATAAATACATAATAGATGTGATGTTGTACTGAGTGGCTGCTTTTGTACTCTACACGTGCTAAACGCGTGTTTACACGAAGCCTCAGGCATAAAACGTCACTTGGCTCAGTAAATAATTACTTTAAAAGACACGAAGCTTTATTTAAAGCGGCGTTTTAGACGTATTTGTTACATTTGAAAAGGCTGCTTTTCTACTGGTAAAATTTTATACGCGCTTAGTGGGGTTGTGTCTTACTCTAGGCATATATTTGCCCATTGCTGTACATTAAGAAAACCAACATACAAGATAATTAAAAATTGAGAACTTAAAATCTACAAATAGGGATCACAAAAAAGTAAGCAAACAAGGCTGGAAATCTACTGCTGACAGTTCGCCCAAGCTACAAATCCCTATTATGACTCCACTATAACATTATTGCAAGTGATATCTAGTGTAGTGTGTGATCGCACAGGAATTTTACAAATACTGAGAAAGTAATTATAAACTTAATTCGACCTCCTTCGTTTTGTCCTGCCATCAAAAAATCCGGTGTTTCCTGAGCGTGGACGTTAGTTAGAAGCTACAACTCGTACATTTTCTAGCACATTAACTGGAAACTGCCATATGAAAGGTTCCCGATTTTGCTGTGACATATCGTTACACGAGTTTGCTCTCTCTACGTATATTTCCGCGACTATATTTCACCAAGTTTTTAACAGTAGACGATAATCATAGTACATTTTCCTACTCAGACGATGGTGGTGATTCTTTCTACTGTTTCCTATACTTAACTGAAATCTTGAGTGGGTATTCAGTATATATTACCACTACATATAGCACTATTTCATATAGCTATTGCTATTTTTAAACAGTTGGTGTTAAGATAGTGGTTGTAAATGTTGTCGATAATTGGCGACTTACACTAAGCGTTTCGCTGTTGTCTATTTTGCATGCATTATTTGTTTGGCTTTATTCTAGCAAAACTTGTGCACAGCAGGCTGTTGAAGAACATAGATATGTGTTACGTAGACCTAAGAAGGTAAGAATGTTACTGAATCTGTTTACATTGCATTAATCTGTGTTGCATTATCTTAGAAGAAACATTATTCCATTCTGATGAGATTGCTTTGTTGCTGCTCATCTTTTGTTACATTACACTGTGATTTGATGGAAGCCGGTCATTAAATCTGTGATGATACAATCTTTGCTTTCAAGATGGTTCTTTGAGAACAACTTTACATTTTGTTTGTTGTAGTTTCATACCAATACATGTGTTTATTCTTTGTTATACATTGGTTATTTATTTTGAATGAGTTCCGCGTGGTGGTTGGGTGAAAAAAGGTAATACAGCAGTAAACCGTTGAAAAAACATATAACATTCACTTGAACGCATATGTACGTATGTAGCTTAAAATTTATTTTCTATAAATGGACATAAAAAACTTAAGAAATAAGATTAGTAAAAATTTTTAATTTAAAAAGGGAGAATGGGAATCGTGAAAAAGTACAGAATATATATATATATATATTTAATACGAGTTATAACTTAAAAATTATTATATCAATTACATTAATTATCAATAGGCTATCAAGATCAACACTATAAAACAATTATGAACTTAATATATGTTCGAAACTCTATTTACAAAAGCAAAAATACCTTCGCACTTTCCGGTGTTTATCCACAAGTCATAACGAAGATTACCTATGGTAATAGCACCCAAAAGCGTTGGGGATATCCCATCTATCAGACAAAATTCAAAAAGCTTATGAGAAACCAGTCAGCAATCATGGAAAACTCAATAAGAGTAGAAGTTGAGTGCTTACACCGACATTGTCTCAACTCTTACTGCCTTTCATTGTCTGCATCCAGTTGTGGGAAGGCAGTTACCATAAAAAAAGAGGAATAAAGTTAAAAGTAGAAATGAGATAAAATTAAGCCACCCAAAAAACAATATATATATATTTCTATTAAACAATGCCTACCATCCTCCACCCTTAAAAGTTCTAAAAAATCATTAAAGTATCATAGAATAAATACCATCCTAATAATTCTACTACATGCTACTCCCAACCTCCACCCTCTTCTGAAAATGACTTATTAACAACATTCC